AATGACAAACACCGGAAAACACCAGGATAATGGGATAATGGGATAATGGTAATACTAAACACTGGGATAACGGGAATAGTAAACACCAGGATAATAGGAATCATGGGAATAACAAAGACCGGCAAAACAGCCCTGGGAACAACAAACACCCTGACACCGGGATAATGGGAATAATGAACACTGGGATAACGGGAATAGTAAACACCAGGATAATAGGAATCATGGGAATAACAAAGACCGGCAAAACAGCCCTGGGAACAACAAACACCCTGACACCGGGATAATGGGAATAATGAACACTGGGATAAAACTCCGGGAATAATGAAACACCCTGACACTGACACCGGAATAAGAACTCTGGGAATAAGGAACACCCTGAGAGTGGAAATAACAACTCCAGGAATGATAAACACTGGGATAACAGCCCCGGGAATAGCAAACAGCGGGATAACAGCTCTGGGAATAACAAACACCGGGATAACAGCCCCAGGAATGACAAACACCGGGATAACAGCCCGGGGAATGACAAACACCGGGATAACAGCCCCGGGAATAACAAACACCAGGATAAAAGCCCAGGGAATGACAAACACCCTGACACTGGGATAATGGGAATAATAAACATTGGGAAAACAGCCCCGGGAATAATGAACACCCTGAGGGTGGGAATGACAAACACCGGGATAAAAGCTCCAGGAATAAGGAACACCCTGACACTGACACCGGGATAATGGGAATAACAAACACTGGGATAACAGCTCCGGGAATAAAAACCACCAGAACTCTGGGAATAACAAACACCGGGATAAAAGCTCCAGGAATAAGGAACACTCTGAAAGTGGGAATAACAACTCCAGGAAAAACAAACACTGGGATAACAGCCCCAGGAATAATGAACACCCTGAGGGTGGGAATAACTGCTCCGGGAATAATGAGACACCGGGATAACAGCCCTGGGAATGACAAACACCCTGACACCGGGAATAACATCACTGGGAAAACAGCCCCGGGAATAATAAGCACCCTCTGGGTGGGAATGACAAACACCGGGAACAGCCTCCGGGATAAAAGCCCCAGGAATAAGGAACACCCTGAGAGTGGGAATAACAGCCCCGGGAATGACAAACACCGGGATAACAGCCCCGGGAATAACAAACACCCTGACACCGGGATAATGGGAATAATGAACATTGGGAAAACAGCCCTGGGAATAATGAACGCCCTGAGGGTGGGAATGACAAACACCGGGATAAAAGCCCTGGAATAACAGCCTGACACCGGGATAAGAGCCCTGGGAATAAGGAACACCCTGAGAGTGGGAATAACAGCCCCGGGAATGACAAACACAGGGATAACAGCCCTGGGAATAACAAACACCCTGACACCGGGATAATGGGAATAAGGAACATTGGGAAAACAGCCCTGGGAATAATGAATGCCCTGAGGGCGGGAATGACAAACACCGGGATAACAGCGCTGGGAATAATAAAAACTCTCTGACACCGGGAATAGCAAACATTGGGAAAACAGCCCTGGGAATAATGAATGCCCTGAGGGCGGGAATGACAAACACCGGGATAACAGCCCGGGAATACCAGCCTGACACCGGGATAAGAGCCCTGGGAATAAGGAACACACTGAGAGTGGGAATAACAGCTCTGGGAATGACAAATACCGGGATAAAAGCTCCGGGAATAACAAACACCCTGACACCGGGATAATGGGAATAATGAACATTGGGAAAACAGCCCTGGGAATAATGAACGCCCTGAGGGTGGGAATGACAAACACCGGGATAAAAGCCCTGGAATAACAGCCTGACACCGGGATAAGAGCCCTGGGAATAAGGAACACCCTGAGAGTGGGAATAACAGCCCCGGGAATGACAAACACAGGGATAACAGCCCTGGGAATAACAAACACCCTGACACCGGGATAATGGGAATAATGAACATTGGGAAAACAGCCCTGGGAATAATGAATGCCCTGAGGGTGGGAATGACAAACACCGGGATAAAAGCCAGGGAATAACAGCCTGACACCAGGATAAGAGCCCTGGGAATAAGGAATGCCCTGAGAGAGGGAATAACAGCTCTGGGAATGACAAATACCGGGATAAAAGCTCCGGGAATAACAAACACCCTGACACCGGGATAATGGGAATAATGAACATTGGGAAAACGGCCCCGGGAATAATGAACGCCCTGACACTGACACCGGGATAATGGGAATGACAAACATTAGGAAAACAGCCCTGGGAATAATGAATGCCCTGAGGGCGGGAATGACAAACACCGGGATAACGGGAATAACAAACAGTGGGATAAAAGCTCTGGAATAACTGCCTGACACCGGGATAAAAGCCCCGGGAATAAGGAACACCCTGAGAGTGGGAATAACAGCTCCGGGAATGACAAACACCGGGATAACAGCCCCGGGAATAACAAACACCGGGATAAGAACTCCGGGAATAACAAACACAACATCCCAAAATCCACAGCCCAAATCTGGGAGCCCACGAGCACCCCAACAGCCGGATCTGACCCCCGGGAACACCCCGGAATCCCTGTCCCCATCCTGGGAATGCAGGGACACCCCGACAGCCGTGTGACAGCCCTGGGGACACAGGGACACCCCACAATCCGTGTGACAGCCCTGGGGACACAGGGACACCCCACGATCCGTGTGACAGCCCTGGGGACACAGGGACACCCCGACAGCCGTGTGACAGCCCTGGGGACACAGGGATACCCCGACACCCGAGTGACAGCCCTGGGGACACAGGGACACCCCGACATCCGTGTGACAGCCCTGGGGACACAGGGACACCCCACGATCCGTGTGACAGCCCTGGGGACACAGGGACACCCCGACAGCCGTTTGACAGCCCTGGGGACACAGGGACACCCCGACATCCGAGTGACAGCCCTGGGGACACAGGGACACCCCGGAATCTGTCCCAAAGCCGGTGTCCCCCATCCCACTGTCCCATCCCTCCCCTCTCCCCGTGGGAATGGTGGCCATGGCCCTGGGTCACCTGCTGTCCCCTTGCTGTCCCCGTGCTGTCCCCTCGCTGTCCCCACCCCTCAGGCCCTCCCTGAGGCTGAGCTTGGGGGGCTGTTGGGGACCAGGGGACATTGGGTGACCCCGGCCACCCCTGGAGGGGACCCAAAAGCCCAAGGGGTGACAGTGTGGGTGACAGGGAGGTGACAATGGGGGTGTCAGAGGGGTGACAATGGGGGTGACAGGGGGTAGGTCCCAAAGGGGGCACCCCCAGTGACACTTCCCAGGGTGGGGACAGGGCTGGGGACATCCTTGAGCATTGGGGACAGTGGTGACCCCCCCCGGGAGAGGCTGGCAGGGTGGGGACATGTCCCTGTCCCCTGCCCCGGGCTGGGGGTCCCACAGGGACCTGTCCCTGTCCCCGTGGGGCTGGGGTCCCATAGGGACCTGTCCCTGTCCCCGTGGGGCTGGGGACCCTACAGGGACCTGTCCCTGTCCCCGTGGGGCTGGAGACCCTACAGGGACCTGTCCCTGTCCCTGTGGGGCTGGGGACCCTACAGGGACCTGTCCCTGTCCCCAGGGGGCTGGGGACCCTACAGGGACCTGTCCCTGTCCCCGTGGGGCTGGGGACCCTACAGGGACCTGTCCCTGTCCCCAGGGGGCTGGGGACCCTACAGGGACCTGTCCCTGTCCCCGTGGGGCTGGGGACCCTACAGGGACCTGTCCCTGTCCCCGTGGGGCTGGGGACCCTACAGGGACCTGTCCCTGTCCCCGTGGGGCTGGGGACCCTACAGGGACCTGTCCCTGTCCCCTCCCCCGGGCTGGGGGTCCCACAGGGGGGTCCCACAGGGGCAGCAGAGCCACTGGCGGGAGGTGACAGCGCCTTGGGGACACATCCCAGGGTCCCGGCCGGCCGGGAGCATTCCCGGATCCCGGGGGGTCGCGCGGGGGTTTCCCGGTGGGCGAGGCGACAGTGTGGGTGACAGGGGGGTGACAATAGGGGGTCCTGGCAGAGGGATCGCCCCAAAACACCGGGATGGGAGACAGGGGGTCCTGGCGAGGGATCCCCCCAAAAACACCGGGATGGGAGACAGGGGGTCCTGGCAGAGGGATCGCCCCAAAACACCGGGATGGGAGACAGGGGGTCCTGGCAGAGGGATCGCCCCAAAACACGGGGATGGGAGACAGGGGGTCCTGGCAGAGGGATCGCCGCGATCCCACGGATAGGAGAGAGGGAGATCAGGGTAGGGGGATGCCCCCGAAATCACTGGGATGGGAGACAGGGGGGTCCTGGCAGGTTTTCCCCGGTGCCGGAGGAGCCGGGAGGGACAGCCCCGATCCCAAGGGACGGGACCCAGAGCACCGGGGGTTTTTCCCGGAGCCGGAGGAACCGAGCAGAGGGATGTCCCCGAAAACACCGGGATGGGAGACGGGAATCCGGGGCAGGGGGATGGCCCCCAAAACACCGGGATGGATCCCAAGGGACGGGACCCAGAGCACTGGGGGTTTTTCCCGGTGCCGGAGGAACCGAGCAGAGGGATGTCCCCGAAAACACCGGGATGGGAGACGGGAATCCGGGGCAGGGGGATCGCCCCCAAAACACCGGGATGGGAGGAGATAGGGGGGTCCTGGCAGGGGGATCGCCCCCAAAACACCGGGATGGGAGGAGACAGGGGGGTCCTGGCAGGTTTTTCCCGGTTCAGGAGGAGTCGGGGAGGGATCGCCCCGATCCCAAGGGACGGGACACAGAGCACCGGGGTTTTTCCCGGTGCCAGAGGAACGGAGCAGAGGGATCGCCCGGTCCCAGCGGGACGGGCGGCGGCGGCGGGGGGGTTCTCCGGGCGGCGAAAGCACCGAGCTCCCGATTTCCCCCCGCTCCCTCGGGGACAGGCGGGGCTTTCCCGGCGCTTCCCGTCTGGATCCCCAGACGCCAGCGGGAAAAAGCCGAACCGGGATCTGCCCTGCGGGGAGCCGGGCGGGGCGGGGGCAGCCGGTACCTATGGTGGTGATGACGGTGATGGCGAAGTAGAAGGAGCCGGCGAATTTCCACTGGACGCCGGCCTTGTGCGGCTTGAGCTTGAGCACGACCCGCTCGAGCTCGCCGTAGCTCTCGGCGCTCAGGTTGTACTTTCTCTTGAGCTCGTCGCTCTTGGCCTCCAGCCGCCGCCTCTCCGCCGTCTCCGCCTCGGACTCGAGCGCGTCGAAGACGGCGGCGCCCACCAGCAGGTAGCTGAAGGTGCAGACGATCAGCGCCAGCGTCCGCACGTTCTGCCGCTTCATGGTGCGCCGGCGGCGGCTGCGGGGCGCGGCGGGGCCGGCTGGGGCATGGCGGCAGCGCCCGGGCACGGCGGGCGGCCGGGGGAGGCGGCCGAG